TAAAAAATAACAATTTGATGCTAAACAGAACTAAACAAATGCAAATTAAATATTAATTCAAATAAATAATAAAAGTAAATACATCAAACTTATTTTATATAGCATACTATGTGTAATGTAAATAAAAATAAGAACAAAGTAGAAGCTATCAATAAAATGTGCCTTTTCATTTTATTTATTAAATATCCATTAAGTAAATTCTGAATGGGCACTGAGAAAAGATGAATGAATAGGATGGTAAATTCAATACAGTCTCTCTTAACATTAAGCAAGTAATTATAATATAATAAGAATGGCAAATGTTAGCAAAGGCAGAATGATTTGAAAATGTAGAGAGCTCTCAAATCATTTCAAACTTAACATGAATGTTTATGAAATATGAAAGTAGGATAAATAGAAAAGTATAATTTGAACACATATCAGGGTCCAGAAAGCAAAATCCAGAACAAATTGAGACCCATGGAACATACCAAGACAGTGGCAAAGTAACTTTAGTCATGTTCAGAGCAGGGAAATGAATACTGAAAGACTAATTATACTACCTACCTGCACAAGAGTGCAGAATGTTGAGTTGGCAGAGCTTTTCAACTAATCGTGCTAATCCTCATTAAAGAAAATAAATGGATTAGAAAGAGTATAAAAGGTTTGAAGCCTGAAGTAGAAAAGTTGTAGAAAGTACGCTTGAAATGAGTTCATGTCTCTAGAAAATCATGCCGGTGGCATGATGCCACCTGTGCTCCATGAAAACCCAGGAAAGATGAAGAATCCCAGTTCATGCCTTATCTTAGAGTTGACATACTCCTGGTGATTGAGAAATCCTTGTTTTATCATCATTCTGCTTTTGATTTAGAGTTTTACAGAACTCATAGGTAGATTGGACGGACTCGATCAGTAATTTTCTGTTAGATAATCAAATCATTTTGATTATTTCATAAAATGAATAATAAAGCAAATTTCTGTAATTGTAGAATATTTATAAAATTATAACATAAATCCTCAGTCATTTTAGTGATTTAATGTTTGAAGAAATATCATGAACTTTATAGATATATAACTAGATTGTTAGCCTAAATTAGGCAGTAGAAATGTCTATTAAGACTCACTCTAAACTAAGATACCACAAATAACTATTAGAACTGCACAATAAACATTGTTTGGTGATTAAAAAAAGAAAACTGTGATTTTTCAAGAAACTGAAGGAGCAATAAAGTATTGGATAAGAATGACATGGTCATCTAGTCAGTCTTTGATTGCTTTGTTTATTCATCTTTAGAAAGACATTTTAGCACTTCTATATGTCAGGCACAGTGCTATTAAGTAGGGCCACAAAGTTTAAGAAATAAAAGACCTGAGCTCTTACCTCACAAAGCTCACACTCTAGTTGGAATTAAGAAGGACATGTGAGCAAATATAATAGTGTGAGAAATTTAATAAGCAAACTTCTAAACATCAGGTAATAATTAAAGGAATTATATGTTATTAATACTTTTGACAGGTATGGGAAAGATGTCAAAAAAATGATATTCTATTGAAGTCTTATTTTTGTTGTTAATTCAAAAACAAATTGCCTATTGAGCACAGATATGCACAGAAACTTTTAAAGGTACCTAACAATTTTTAAGTATTCTAGAAATCAAGTAGAAAAATGAAAGTCAGATAAGATTCATAAAAGTAGATTTGTAGCTAATTGTATAATAAAGTACAAATAGTTTCAATTGATAAATCAGTGCCAATCAATCTTTAGTTGTGTGTTATAAAGCTAGGTATTTCATATCGATTCACTAAGTATTTGTTTCAATGACTTGGATGAACACATAAAACATACCTTTGAAAATGATACCAAAGCTGGGAGGGGTGGTTAAAACATTGCATACAGAATTAAAACAAAGACCAGAGACAATAAGTCAAATGTAATAAGATACACTTACTTATCAGTAATAATTGTGAATTATTGTTAAAATGAATTAAATAAGTATGAGATTTTAAAGACTGTCAGTGACATCAGAACATAGAAGTCCTGTTATGACCCAGTGTGATACAGATGCAAAAATAGACAATGAACACTTGATGCTTATGTAAATTAACAGAAGTGCGAGGTCATTTCTTTCTGACAATTGTTACCATAGCTTACTCTGACTAGACTCAGTTCACAGTATGTCCAGTTCCGGGAACCATAAGCATAATTTTATGTACTGTAATGTAGATTATTTTGGCAGGGACTTAGAAACCAGAGGTATCTAAAACATCAAGGAAAGCAAAGACTATAAAACACATGCAGAAGGAGCAGGTGCAGAGCAATGGGTGAGGTGCCCTAGACTGATATTCTGTAGGCACGATGACAGATGTCCTGGAAGGTGAACTGTGTGTGGTCTCAGCAATTTTGAGCTACTGCAGCAATACAAGAAAGTGCAGGCCCCTAATTAGATTCAAGGGGACCCTTACTCTAGATGAATAACCCTACAAAGAAATTGAAATAAAGGGCAAAATAGAACCCTCTGAAATAACTCAAAGAAGGGAAAAAAGGCAAGACCCTGTTTCTAGAGGTGATGGGACACGAGGAGAAGAATGGAAAGTGCACCCTGGACATTACGGAGAAGGCAATGGCCCTGGTCGTGTGGACTCACAGTAGAGCTAACAGCAATGCAAGAAAAAAACATTTCTTAGAGTTCCCAAAATTCTCCTGCCTAGGACAGGTTTTATCCCTGATTCATGGGCAGGCCAGAGTCTACTGGTGACGGTGGCATTTTCCCATCTGGGAAAATAAGAATTACAGCGCTGATCAGGTTACATAAATAATTCAGTATTCCCTCAACTCCACCGCACAGTTGATTCATTCCCAGGGAAACACGTTCATTGAATACTATCCCGTGAATTGATCACTGAGCTGGATTCAGAGAATGTGAAAACAGATAAAGCCAGTGCTTTGACATAAAGAATTCATTATAGGTAATAGAGAATCACTAAAGTTTTTAAAGTCAGCACATAATGGGCTAGATTTTAAAATGATGGCTAGCAGCAAATGGTAAAGTTTAATAACTTATTCACGTAGTTGAGCAATAATGTTAAAGAAATGTAGACCATAAAACATTTGTTAAAAGATATTACATATGTAATATTTTTTGTGTGTCTTAGTTGGAAAAATAGTTTATGACATATTGCAGAGAATATACCAAAATAATTTAAATCACTTTTTAATTGCATAAATAATATATATTTTATTTGCCAAAAATTCTTAATAATAGAAGCATGCAGTGGTCACGTTTTTATGTGAATTTTAATTATTTAAATATGAAATAGGATGTATGTAAAGTATTTATAGATTGTACTTCTTGAGAAAAATGTTAAACAAAACAAATAACCCTAAATTTAAAAATCATTGAAATGCGTGGCCTGTAAACTGTTTACACTATTGCCACAAGGTGGTGCCATAGTGATAACTGTGCCAGTAATATCAGTATTCTATCCTTTTCTCTGCATTTACATAACTATTTTGTTTATAACCATATTCATAATTTGAGGCTTTCTAAATACATAAAATTATTCTATATCTACTATATGGACTGGAACTTACTCTCTTCAATAAATCAAATGTCATCGTTCTTAAACTGCTAATATTCCTTAGTGAAAAGATACTGTACTTCATTTAACAGGTCCCACATCAATGGTCATTTTGATGTCTTACAATATTTCACTGACGCAAATGATGTCATAAAGAACATTTGTGAACAATTATCTTTGAATACATAGGAAGTGTGTCTGGAGTCTCCATTTTACCAGAAGAAATTTCTGATTCAAAGCAAATGAACCTTTTAAATTCTAATAATTATGGGCCAGTTATCCTAGCCAAAGGTTCTAACAATTAAAGCTCTAACCAACACTGTATGAGAAGGCCCATTTTCTCTCATAGCTCCATGATGGAATTTTTTTTTAAAGATTTATTTATTTATTTTTAGACAGAGGGGAAGGGAGAAAGAGAGGGAAACATCAGTGTGTGCTTGCTTTTTGAGGGTCCCCTTACTGGGGACCTGGCCTGCAACCCAGGCCTGACTGGGAATCAGACCAGTGACACTGGTTCACAGGCCAGTGCACAGTCCACTGAGCCACACCAGCCAGGGCTGTTTTCTAACTTTTTAAATGTTGCCACCTGATAGAGAACAGTTGGTGGTGATAATTCATCATTCCTTCATTAGTAGTGAGGTTGAATAGCTTTAAATTTTTTGTGAGCTTTCGTGTTTTTGTTCAGTGATTTGCCAGCTCAAATTGTTTGCCCACTTTTCACTATTTTTAGAAGGTTACATTTTTTGTTGTTGTTTTGGATTGGTCAGGATTTTCCATATGTTATGTATATTAGTCATTGAATTGTTGTGTCTGTTATTTTGTTTTTTCTTAATCTGTCACTTATCTTTGAATTTTGATAATGGTGGCTTTTATTGCAAATGAATTTTAATTCTTTCAGTGGTCAAGCTTCAGGATTTTATCGGTTATAACTTCTCAGTTTTGTTTTGCTTTGAAAAGGTTTTCCAAAATTTTAAATCTCTATGAAGATATTTCTTTTATTTAACTGAAATGCAATCCTATGAGGGGGTTTTTTCATTAGTATTTTTGTGCATGTGGAATTTATGTTTTTATGGCTAACCAATTATCTGAGCACAAGTATTGAATGGACACTTTGCTTCTCCGATGATTTGAAATATTACCTTTATCATGTACCAGTTTCAAACATACATGATTTTGTGACCAGCTAACCAAAATATTCATATTTCCACACAAATATATGCAATGGACCACAGAATAATTCCCACTTCCAAGAAGCAAGAGAGCTCAGAGAGGTAAGGGATTTTCAAGAAATCATGTGACTACCTTGAAGGCCAACCCGGACCTAGGAACCCATTTTTCTTATTTCTTAGTATTTTTTTTTGTCTCATTCTGCTGGACACTATGATTTGAAATCAACAGAAAACCTGTCACTTTTGCCCTCTTTTATCTTGACTCTTTTTCAGTAACAGAAGAAGCGTGTAGCAGGTCCCCATGCCAGAACGGGGGCACGTGCGTAGATGGGAGGAGGAGCTTTGTCTGTGCCTGCCGACATCCCTTTACTGGTCACAACTGCACTGTCAAGCTAATGGAGGAAAACGCTTTAGCTCCAGGTAAGAAAGTACATATGCCCTTGATTTCAATGTCACATACAAAAACACGTTTGGAAATATTTATGAATGAATATTTAAGCCTGCTTAATCTGGATTCCCTTGAGGATTAATACCTGTTACTTCTGAAACTTACTGAATAATGCACATGATTTACAAATAGAAACATAATTTTGTCCAGTAAATTCATGTTGACATACACTGGTTGAAATTTTCAATATTAGTGTAATAGAGGCAGGTTTTTTTTTTCCCCTGGGCACCCTAAATAGAATATAAACGCTTTCTCTTTAAACAAGTTGTTAAACAATACACCTTTCATTCATATCAGATGCGGTCATTTAAATGGAGCTTTCTTAAGTGCTTACTAGCAAAGCACCTCTTCCATGAAGGTCAAGCCAATAGTGCCATGTGCCTGAGTTAGGACTGTTACAACATGTTCGAATTAATTGAGTAGCATAAGATGTCTGTTTTGTGCATTTATCTTTTAATCATTGGTTGCTGTAAAGTTACTTCAAGAATGTACCACTTCTGATTTTTTGTACAAGAAAATATATGCAACATTTAAAATATATTCTCTTTAGTGAGAACAAAAAACATATTCAAATCAGCCTTTTAATATGCCACATAGTGAAAAGTAAAGTTTTTAGTCTATTTTTAAATCTTAGCCTTTGTTAGTACATTTGGCATTAATTACATAGAGAATTCCTTTTGTCTACTTCTCTATAGTGCGTGTGACTTCATTAGGTTTCAGTTTAGCCTTTAGATACTGTTTGACAAAGTGCTGGAAAAATCGTTTCTACCACATGTCAGCTTCAATTCCTTCAAAGGGCTTTGAATTCCTTTCTCTCTGGAGAGAACAAAGCAACATGCAAATTAACTTTTGAATTATTTTTATGAGGGAGGTAGAATGTTATTATTATTCTTTCCTCATCTAAATGGAGAAACTGAGGCTCAGAGATGCTTAGCGATTTCAGGTAACTCAGCCAAGAGGATAGGGAGGCATCCAGACACACCAGCCTTTGTTAAATATGATGAACAGTTATCAAAGGCTAGCCTTTTTCTTCTGCTAACCCTTTCTGTACCTGAGATAAAATGATAAGGATATGAAGAAACGCAAAGCAAGGTAAAAACATTAAAACTAACTTGTTCCATTTTTTTCCTTTAACAGATTTTTCCAAAGGATCTTACAGATATGCACCAATAGTTGCTTTTTTTGTGTCTCATACATATGGAATGACTACACCTGGTCCTATTCTATTTAATAATTTGGATGTCAATTATGGATCTTCATATACTCCAAGTACTGGAAAATTCAGAATTCCGTATCTTGGGGTATATGTTTTTAAGTATACTATTGAGTCATTTAGTGGTCATATCTCTGGATTTTTAGTGGTTGATGGAAGAGACAAGCTTGCATTTGAATCTGCAAATATTGACAGTGAAGTACATTGTGATAGGGTTTTGACTGGGGATGCCTTATTGGAATTAAATTATGGGCAGGAAGTGTGGCTACGACTTGTAAAAGGAACAATTCCAGCCAAATTTCCCCCAGCTACTACCTTTAGTGGTTACTTGCTATACCGCACGTAAATTAGTGGGAGAGACAGACCGTCACCCTTACTGAGGAGTAGCCAGTGTTTTTATCTACCTTTGCATGCACATTGGTTCTATTTTTAATTTTTCTACACGAGATGGAAATCTGCCTTTTAAATCTAAGGCTGTAAGTTTGTTTATTTCATAAAGTCATTTGGATATCTTTTGAGTAATCTGAATATGAAGGGGTTCTTCCTAAAGAGATTCAGTAGCGCAGAAAACAAAGTGTGTGTGTGTTAGCATAACTATTTTTGTTTTCTCATATTAGGTCATTTCAATGTAAAGTAATATCCAATGATAGTCACTCAACATTGTCAGTCACAGAAGCCTTTCCAATAAAACATTAACTTGTGTTATCCTTTGCATATATAAACATTAACATGTATTTCTTAAATTCACAAATTTAAATAAAGTACTCAAAGACTAATAAGTGTTTTTTATTTTGATACTTACTCTTTACTGTTGAGTTAATCAATTTTATATATTAAAATTTTTTTTGTAATCAAAATTAAGAAAGAGAACTATTATTCTCTTCCTTTAATTAGAGGATAAAGTAATAACTGACAGATATTCAAACATCTATACGCAAATATCAGGATATATAAGTGGATCTTTTACTTGCCTCTATTATACAATATCTATAGGGGAAAAGTAAAACCTTTATCTTAGGGTGTCCTACTGCAACAGCACATTCAGACCTGCCTGGATTTTTATATAGGATACAAAATACTCCAAAGTGATGCTATAATGTACGGGATGCTCACTATGCCCCAATTCTCTTCTAAGAAATTTACATGTGATATCTCATCCATTTCTCACAAAGATTCATAAGGTGGGTATTATTGTTATCATTTTTATAGTTGAAGAAACTGAGACACAGAGAGATTAATAAATGGACCAATTTCCACAATGACTAGAGATGAAGGCAGAATTTAGAATGAGGCCATATCTTTTCCAGCACATCCATTCATCCTTTCCTTGTATACCCTCCTTCAGATATACCACAATTTCTCTACCAATCCCTATCAAAGGTCATTGAGATTGTCTCCAATGTTGTACTGTAACAATATTGTTGTAGTGAACACTCTTAAAAATACTTTCCTACGTATTTGACAAAGTATTTCTGAAGAATAGATTTTATAGGTAATAGTAAAAATAATAATGAAATGTTTTTGGTATGCAAGCATTCTTCATAAATTAATTTGTGTAATGCAAAATATAATCCTATGAGTTACATATTAAACCTATGAAATATATACTACATATTATTATATGCTTTCCACAGATAAGAAATTGACACATACACATAGGGGGCCACTTTGTGTGGTATCAGGGATTGGAGTTCCACACAAGCTGGGGCCTGGGAGAGGCCCCATAAGACTTGGCTGGAACACTGGTAATGCCGTTGATAGGCAGGACCCAGTAATAACTGCGAGGGCCCCCGGGGGAAATCAGGCCTCGAAGTAATTTATGCTCCTTGAAGCATGCTTTGTTTTTCCCTCAAGCTCTCTTAATCTTATACCAGATAACCAGCTCAAGGCTGGGAAAGAAATTTACAAAATTCCTGGACCCTGACCCAAATCCCATCTGGCGCCATAATGCTTGCTCATCTTGGACCCAAGTAATTCCGTGTGTTCCTGCCATTGTCGTCTTCAAACATCACCTATTCTCTGTAAACTTAAGTTACTGACGTAATTAGATTACCTATACATTCCTGCTACCTATCCCCTGCTTGTAACCCTCTCAATAAAAGCCAATGAGCATGGGGGCTCAGGGCATTCTCCTTGAGCGAGAATCGCCTTCCTTGACAGGCGTACAGTGTCAGGAACGACTCTTTCATCCACGGCAAATCAGTGGGCCAGAGTCCCCCATACATACAGGCTAAGTAATTTTCCCAATATTACAGCAAATTACAGACAATTTCTTGAACAAAAGATAAACATTTTTTATTTTCATAAGTACTATTAAATTGCCCCCAAGAATTTTTCTACCCATCCATAGTTCTGTTTTGTTCATGAAAAATAGTATTCTTTATGCCCCACTCATTCTCATCAAAACTCACAATTTTTAAATGCCACCAGTCTTTAAAGTGAAAATAGTATTTCCTTATAAATCGAAGCTTGAAAAATTTTCAAATTTGCTTCAGCTTGAATGCATATGTCCAAAGACTTGTACATGAATGTTCATAGAAGCTTTATTTGTAATAGCCAAAATTAGATACTACGGACAGGTCGAGCAACAGAGGAAAGGTTAAGCGAACTCAGGTTTATTTGCAGAGGACAGCCAAGCAGTAAAGAGGAATGAACACCCTACAACACGTAGGAAACTCATATAGGAGAAAGTTTCAAACTGCAACCTGATGAATATTAGACACACCTGCAGTGAGCATTTTTTTTAAAAAATTCATATATAATTGACATAAAACTTTGTATAATTTTTAGGTGCACTACATGATGACTTGATATAAGTACATGTTGTGAAATGATTACCACAATAAATTTAGTTAACAACCATCACCTCACAATATTGTAGTTTTTTCTTTCGATGAGAACTTTTAAGATCTGTTCTCCTAGCAGTTTTCAAATATACAACACAACATTGTTATCTTTAGTATTACCCATTAGAATGTTTCATGCAGAGTCAAAATAACTAGGCTTCAATACCCCAGCCTCACTCGCCAGCCTCGCGGCAGCCAGGGAGGTTGTGAGCGAGATGCTGACAAGTGGAGGCTGGCTGACTGACAATTTCTATTCTGTTATGTGTAAATGTGCTCTTTTCAAAATATTTCGTGACTTTTGATAGCTTATTTAGTTCCTACTTAAAATTGCATCACAATCTAAACTGTTTTTCATCTTATTTCTCCAAGGACTCATAGACTAAATAGAATTTTTGTCTTACAAATACACATTTCAACATAGATTCCAGTGAGTTCAATCTACTGCTCATTCATTAATATTAGCAAAACAGAAGGAAGTAAATAATTTGACAATGTTCGTTATTGCCATGCACAATTTAGTTAATTGGTTTTGTAATTAGATGAAAACACTTAGCATTAAATGATTCTGTGGTGTTTGGAATTTAATTATTAGTAGTATTTTTTATTTTGATAAATATTTATAGAAATACACAAATGACAAATTACCATTAATAGCTAAAAGGCATTGTAATAATTTTTAAGTTGCTAAGATATTGTTTGGCTATTTTTTAAAAACATTCACCCAGCATAATGTAAGGTAATTAGTTTAATAATATATTTCTAATTGTCATGATCAAACTTACCTATGAATGAAAAATATAACACTAAGATTTCCTAGATTTTCTCCTATGGAGACAGCAAATTTTTATGAATATTACTTCTTAGGTTGAATTCCAGAGCTCTTCTCTCTCACCAGTCCTTCCTGCCCAGCAAGCCCCTGAAGTACGCTAAGACCCTAATTACTGATGACAATCTCACATTCATTCACTTGGCAGTTATTTAATAATAATTACCTATTTTGTGACATGCAGGAGAAATCCCATATAAAAATAACTTTAAAATATCAAGTAAATCACTACAGACAGAATCTGCATTTGGAATACAGAGACATGACGGTGTTTACTACCACCAAAATCATGACTAGTAGCTCAGTAAGAATGGGGATGAATCTTAAGTAACTAGCCCTTCTTTTATCTGCACCTCAGACCAAACTTTCATTACCTCCTTTGCATCACTCCAGGAATTGAGGAAGTTCATATACAAAGTGAAGTGTACCTATATTGCTCTTCTGTACCCTTTTGCACCAGTCAAAATTCTTGTTTTGGAAGAGAATGGGCTAATATTATACGGGGATTATGATATTATTAAAATAAGCCATATTGATTTTTGGTGGACTAGTCTATTTAATCCTCTTAGAGAAAGTTGGTTTTTTTTTTTGGTCATCTGTTTTAAAATATAAATTTACTTAATCAAATTAATTTCTAATTTGTAGCAGTTCAGTTACATTATATATACAGTATATATATCATTATATATACATTCAGTTATATACATATATAACATAAAGTTTTTATTTATCTAACATATAATATATATATATCTCTAATATATAAACATTATATATATATAGTGTGATATAAAAAAATTAAGGTTTTTATGCACTTTTAATTCAAGTATGAAGAGAATGGATAGGGAACCCTGGTACCTTTTGAAAAAAAATTGTTATGGTTTATTATTGTCAATTTTCTCACATTAGAAACTAGTTGAGTAATATTTTTGTCTTTATTAAAGGCATTTTTTAATGTAACAATTTATCTTACTAGTCAAAACTGTTTCCCAATCTGTCCTTGCGGGACACCTGTGAGAAACATTGAAGCAAAAAAGATAGGCCTGCCCTGCTTAGACTGCATTTAGTTGGGTTGATCTCCCCTGTTAAAGGCAGAGATGAGTGCTGCCCCAGTGATTTCGAACCCAGGGTTTCATCAATGAGCTGAGGAGTGTTATAAAGCACCTACTCTGGAGAGATTTTTATCTCAGCTCAGTGAGAATCTTCAATGAGTTATACTGTGTTTGTGTGTAGAGAAAACAATTACGAAGCCTTGTTCATTTCTCTGGGATGACATCTTAATTAATCAATCTCAAACTCTGGAAGAAGTCAAATTTTGGAGTTTTTATTACATTTATTCATAGATTGCTTTGAAAATTATCAAAGCCTGGGCTTTTTGTCAAACATTTTACAGATGCCAAGTGTTGAATGTAGTAATATATAGAATATTTTAAAATGTTATTTTCATTGTTTTAAAAATATCAGCCTAGAGCAGATCCTGGTTGTAGCATGATTTCTTATTAGTAGTTAGATTCAAATAGATGCTTATATCAACCCCACCAAAGATGACAGTGAAAATGCTAAACGACACAACATGGAAGTCTTTTTTTCTTTTTAGTATGTTATCATTGTATTTGAATCTAAATCCAAAAATTTGAATTCAAACACCTGTTTGAATGTTCTATTTTTTTAGACTCAAATAAATATCATATCAATTTCACTCAAGCAAAGAGCAAAAGCACCAAATGAAACAGCCGAGGGGGCATGTTCTTGTAAATGCTGCACTACTT